CCCCAAAAACCTGCCCCCTAACCCCCATTAGGGGCCCGTGGCGCAGGGGCATTTGAACCCACAACCTAATGGGTGGGCAGATTCTAGGGCCAGTGCAAACCATTGAACTACAGAGACTTTGTCTCTGGTTTTGATTTTGGAAATCTAGTCTGCTGGGTGAGCCAGCTCAGAGCAGCTCACCCAGCCCAGCAGAAGCTTTGGCTTCAAGCGGAAGATGTTGCCGGTTTTTTCTTTGGTTTGAAGCCGAAGAATTTAATTGACACAGGTGGGAGGACTTCCCATCAACATCTGGGGGTCTCCCAGAGCCGGTTTAGAGCCTTGAAATCCAAATTTCTCTGCAAGAATTAAGAGTTTTCGGGTCTAGATTGACTTCTGGGAGCGTCCCAGGTCCGACGGGAAGTCCTCCAATGTATTCTTTATCCATAGTTGCAGGATCAGATTAGCAATCATTCAGATATGCTTTGAACTTCTCTTATAGATCACCTGTAGTTTCTCACAATGTGATCACTGTTTTCTTAGGTTGAATTGCAACAATTGAACTACTTCCAGAATTCAAAAATTAAAAATATATCTTTATGCCTTTTTCATTGATTTTGATATGCAAAGATAGCACCAGTATCTACCCCAGTTAATGGAGGACATCCTGTTGCAGTCTGCAGGTCCCCCAGAACCAATTTAGAGCCTTGAAAACAAAGTTTCTCTGCAAGAATCTACAGCTTTTGGGTCCAGATTGGCTTCTGCAAGGACTCCAGCTCTCACAGGAAGTCCTCCAATGACAGTGTGGTGGCACATTAAGAAAATTTTACTACAATCACTAGACCAAGTCCCAATGAACATGTTCTATGTTATTGAATGCATACCAGTATCTGTTGAAATTGTGAATTATCAGTTAATGAAAATGTCAAGTCTTCATTGGAACATTTTACTGCAATAGCTAGACCAAGTCTCAATAAACATGCAGTTCTATGTTATTGAGTTGTGAATGTGTATGACACCAAAAGTTATTGATTTGTTTGCAAAAGTGGGTTTGAGAGGAGATTTTGTGCAGGTTATCAAATCATGTGATAGCTCAGGCTCAAAGATGCTGAAAGAAACATGAACAAGAAAACCTTCCAAACACGGCATCAGGTTTTCTGGATTGACTTATTTTACGTCATGTCTGTGCAATTGTCATCGAGTTCTTGTTTGGTGATACCGCGCTGGTTTTTGAAGGATATCGAGTCTATCAGTTTGGATTTGAGCAAGCCAAATGAAAGAGAGTCGATCATCTACTCACTCCGAGTGCCATATCTTGGCCACAACAGTAGCTAGTATCAGGACAGCGCGTAAATTGAAGTGGCTCGTTTCCCGGCCAAGATTCGGCATCTCGAACTTTTTCAATCCGCCAGGGGAGATCATGATTGGACGGGTCAACTCAAATGAAATTGATATGCGCATGGGATTGAGGAAGAAGAAGAAGAAAAAAAAAACGAAACTGTACTTACGAATATAATTGCTACCGGACTGGTGACCACATTGACCGATGTACCGGTGAGTGATCCAGTCATTGCAGGTGAAAGGAGTCAGTGCATCTACAGCTACCGTCCCGTAAGCCACAGCAAAGATAGCGAGGGTAGACAATTGCATAGTGGGGTTGAAGATAACGATAAAGGCGCTTGAGGATATGTTGGACTTGTGAGGTCAAGAGTTTGTGAGATCAAGGGAAACAGAGCAGTGGACGGAGACAGTGTCCTCTTACATATAAAGGGCAAAGCGCGATGAATTCTTTGAGAGATACATAAACAGCAGATTCGGAGTCGGCCGTCGCATTGCACGCAACATCCATCGTGTGGCTTGCTCATCTGTGCCACATCAAAGCCTTTTGGGAACTTTTGTATACCCATCGGGGTTGTACAACGTGCTACGGAAGCCCAGGGGGGACACCCATCGAGCCACCAGTTGATTTTTGATTTTTGATTTTTTGGCAGTAATACAGATGTACAGATCAGCTGTATACTCCGTAACTCCTCTGATGTCCGACCCCCAAACACATAACAGGATATGTACAACATAACACCTGTTATGTGAAGCTCAATCACTGACACTCTCTTCCCTTCAGGCTTCGATTCCCCCTTACATACCCTCCAGACCGGTCTGTTTGCCAAGGACCGGAGCCAGTGATCCAGGCGATCTCCCTGACATTGGGTTGAACGATTGCTCGGACCGGCCGGTCCAACAAGTCCTTGGACCGGCCTGTCCAACGAGTTCTCGGACATGACTGTCCGACAAGACGTCGGACTTGCCTGTCCGAGCAGATGACTCCGCCTGGCAAATGCTCGGACGAGCCAGTTCAACGACTCGCCGGACGGCCATGCCCGAGAGCCGCTCAGACAAACCCGTGCGAGGACTCGTCAGACAGGCCGGTTCAACCGGTTAGTCTAGACAGTGTGACATACTCGCGCTTGGCCTACGACCGCTCGCCGATCGCGGTTGACCGGGTCTTCAACAAGGCGCTTGCGCTTCCGCACCGGTCGGACAACGACGATCTGCGCAGCGGCCGTTTGCTCTCCGATCTGCTACCCTCCTCCTCCTCCTCCTCATTGGCGGACAGATCTGGCTTGGAGGACAACCGGCTCAAACACCCCTTCCCATCCGAGCTCGCCGACGATCTTGATCCAACGCTCCTGTCTCAACTGTCGCTCTCCCCGGCTATAGGACCCGCAGAGCAATTGGACCCCCCTGCGATCTTCGTCGCCGTCGAGTGCCCGGAAAGGGCGGCCTCCTGGCAGATCCGGCCGGACCTGTTTGGCCTGACGTCTCATTCCGAGGACGGGTTGAGCGAGTCGACCTCCTCGTCGAGCTCGCAAGAGCCTCCCACGACGCCTGTGATTTCCCATACAGCCCCCCTTATTCGATGGAGTTGTAAGTTGAGGAAGAGTATGTATGGGAGCTGAGATGAACCAGTGTGCTCATGCCGAATGTGGCTATCTCAATTAGGAATCGGATGCTCAGTGGCCAGTTAGGGGACATGTAACTTCCTCATAACAGGTGTGATGTTGTACACAACCTGTTATGTGTTTGGGGGGTGGACATTGGAGGAGTTATGAGATGTACAGCTAAGCTGTACATCTGTATTATGTACGCCCGAAAAATCAAAAACAAAAATCAAAGTGGTGGCCTGGTGGGTGTCCCCCCTGGGCTTCCGTAACGTGCTGTGTTTTAAAGATTAGGTCAAGCCTTATCCTTGGCGAATTGCATAAATGTCTACATAAATACCTGGCCGTGGAGGCAAGCAACCTTGGGCACTCGTCACATCACACCTGCGCTCACTCTGCACCTCGGAGTCGGGGCTCCGAACGTGTCTGGATGGAGATAGTCAAGCCGGCAGCAGGCAGGCTATGCATGTAGGAAGCCTGCAAAATTATAAGTGGCATTTTGCTCTTGGCAAAGCTATTCTTCCTGAAGTTCCGGTCTTCCTACCCGGTGAGGGGAAAGCTGCATCCGATGCCAGCCATTCAACATCAAAACCAATATTCAATTTTATAAGTCTTACTTATTATAAGCAAGAATGGAGATCTCCATCTGGCTAGAGTTTCCTATTATCCACTCAGTCACGACCTTGGTAAACGGAGAACTTCCAACCAAATGCGGCGATGAGTCCGGGTCTTTAGTGATCACTTTTGACACCGTTATAGCAGTATGGGCCAGAGCGGCTACCAAGGCCGAAGGAGATCGTTCGCGTGCACAAGGCAAAGGGCGGATGAGTGGGCTCTTTCTTTATTTTTCTTCACCAGACACGCTGTGATGATGGCTCTCATGGGTTCAAGTGACTTTCAAAGTCAACACGGCGTGAGGATTGGCTATTCAACAGCTGATGTGGTGGTGATCTTAAGGATACGGACCATTACGTCAGCATGAACCAAGAAGACTGCAAAGTGGTGCACTAGCTACCAAAACGCCCTCCAGAAGGTATAATATATGAGTTTTCTGTTTTCCTATATGATACACATTGATGAATCATTGGGAAAAGCTTGCTGTGGTAACGGCTTGCATTTCCGCCTCGAACGGGATGGACTCATTATTCTTAAGCTTGAGGTGATTTGTTCAGCAAGTTATACCCGGCGCCCCAGGTTGCCACTTAACTCTGGGCCAATATGAAAAAGGGCGTTGTAGTTTATGTACCGTTTATTTTCCAAATTTGCTACTGAAGAGGAGCTCTGCTTCCCCAAGAATGAATGACCCAACTAGGATCATGGATGATGGATGGCAATCTCAAATTTTCCACTGGGTCAAAATACGACCTAGACGTCATATTGACTGTACGTTGTGTTCAAAACAGCAGATCAATAGTTACGAACAGGCGGGGTAATCATTAGATTGCTGCTGTGAGAAATTGAACAGTTTATTAAGAGCAAGACGATCCAAACGCGATCAAACAATAACGATTAAAAAAAAAGGGGGGGGTGGACTCAGATAAATAAGTGAGGGTGCATCTTTGTTCTTCGTGTAGAGCTAGATGTGTACCTCGTGAATTAAGTGTGAGATCTACGCCAGCATAGAAAAGTAACGGCAAAAGTGCTTATATATGGATTTATGGAAGCGGTTAATGGTAAGATTATGCCTGAGAAGGATATGTAGTGACGACCACCGGTTTGAATTCCTCTTCTTCATCCTCACTTAGTTCATCCTCCTCCTCCTCATCCTCCTCGTCGTCATCTTCAATCGACAGATCTTGAATTTGAGCAGGATGGAGGTGGTCGTCAAGTCGGCTGATAGGGATCTTCAGATCTTTGACGTTCCAATCAAACCGTTTACAGTCTGTCTGAATCCCCGGCCAATCGATTCCTTCCAAGCTCCTCCGAACTTCTCCATTCCGTCGCTGCCTTCGCTCCTCATCATCCACATCATTTTCTGTCTTATGAGCGGTCGCAAATCGTTCCTTGATCGTTAAACTGATGATGTAGTTCAGATTCATTCGGAACCGATCGACAACGCCAAAGAACCAATTCTCGATTTGGAAGTCTTCCATCCATTCCGAGAAGAAATTCGACCTCAGGTACTTCAATTGGACGCTAAACACTTTGGTGATCTCTAGATTCAGACTCAGATAATCTATCTTCTCTCGTTGATCATCCGATCTTCGTTTATTGAGCTCCGTAAGTTCCGAGAGGTTTGACTTGACGATTAAGTTCATTAGGCTTTGGTAGAATTCGAAGGACTGGATCGATTGAATCTCTATGAACGTTATGAATGATAGCTGGAGTAATCCCAAGACCTCTTCAGGATCTATTTGTTTTGCATATTAAAAAAAGGCATCAAAATCAGAATTGGCCACAAGGGACGGAGATTTTGAAGATTGAACTGACCCCTATTGAATTGATGATGCATAAGATGATCGAATAGCCAGCTCTTATCGCGACTCCATTTTGTGAGTTCAGGACCGATAGCATCCTTAGGCCACGACCTCTTGAGATCGATGAAAGGCCAAAAGGTTGTCCGTTCTTGGGATTGAGATAGGGGTTGGACTTGTAGTTGATCATTCCCAAGTCTAGGTTTTCCCCATTGAGTTCGATTAGGTATACTTCCCGAGAGTGGTGGGGGTGGATGTGATGATAGGCTGACATTGTTCAAGATGAGACTGTCTAGAAGACCATCCTCTTGATTATCGAAGCCGATGATCCTTGAGACTTGCTCGGCTGTGATACGACTGGTCAATGCCTTCCATCGATCGTAATCCTTGATCGGATATGGTGCTAATTTGGAGTCGATGGTTTTCATGTAATCAATGGAAGTGATTGTCTGTTCGGTCGAATGATGATTTGCCTTGAAGTCTTCGAGATTCGAATCGAAGTACCTGATCAGTTTCTCCTGTGGCTTGAAGAACCTGATGAGTCCCTTCCTGACTTGGTATCCTATCCCGGGCGAGTTGAATGTCTGCTCGGATCCCAGCTTGTTTCGCGATGGTTTGATTGGCGCAGGACTGATGGTGATGATATGAAAGCCAGGCGGGATTAGTTTGATTCCCTACATCAACAAACAGAAACCACCCATCGGTCAGTTAAGTCTTCCAAGGCTGAAGAGGGGAGAGAGCGTTGTGATGAGCATATACTTGAAAGAGTGAGCCAGTTAGCCAGGTGGAGCCATCGATGGTGAACTGAGTTCCTGTGGGGAGGTCGTTGAGGATGAAGAAGCAGCCCAGTTCGAATAAGCTGTTCAAGTCTTGAGTGCTTAGCTTGTCGAGTTCCATCTGGTTGGTCAACAGAGTGGTTGATGATAGCCACCTCTCACCCTCGACTCTTCGAGCCACCACCCCCACAGCCAACTCATAACTTAGTGGACCGCAATCGGCGGGGTAAAGCCACCCACACCGGTGACCGATGAGCACAAGTGAGCCGGTGAAGTCTGGAACAACCTGGTCCCAACCAACCTCATCCATATGGCGGTTTGTACAATCACCTACATATTTAATACAGGTGCAGGCCTCCCGATTGATTTGAACTTTGAAGTCTTGAAGGTAGAAATGAGCCACAGGGCAGCCATCGCATCGCAGCTCAGGACCTGTATGATTAAAACAGTTATCTCAACACGGACCGACCGTCACAAATTCCATGTGGCATCGCCACAGTGCTATTATAACACGATTTTACTAATTTGCGTGACCCAGCGCCATCTCACCGGCGTGCCATTCTGTATTGGGGTTGCAGGGCTGTAAGGTCCTTTTGGCTCGCAAGGACCAAGGAAGTTCAGCAATGCCAGCATCAAATATTCATAAATATGTACTGGCAGCTCCCTCCGCCCACAGAACATCGACCGTCCACACTCCCATCCTCCACCGAGCATTTGTCTAATCAATATCCGCTCTGATCCGGAAAAGAAGCATCAAATACTCTTCCAAAATGATGATTAACATCATCTTACTTGTCGGGATGGTCGCATTTCTATCCATGACCCAATCAAATGCTTATAACTGTGACAATGCCTTCCAGCGTATTCCCAATACCCCCAACTCTGTTGGTAAGTACGATCATCACTTCATGGGTTTGGATCGCTGTTATGCAGAGGCTGATAACCTCGCCCTTTTTATCTACAGCGTGCCAAAACGGCCTCGAGGCGCGTAAGTGTGACCTGGACCAATGTATCACATACGGGCCGTACGGACCTAAACCTCGTGAGAAGCAATCTTCCAATTCTCAGAACTTACATTAATCTAACCTGATCCATGGTTCTACATATGTAGTATCATCTTGGGTATTCTCAGGTTGTGTGCGCGCCCCAACAGGTCGGGTCCAATACCGAGTCCAAGTAAAGGAATTTACTGTCAATACTCCGCTTAAAAGAATTGGTACGTCGTAGCCTCGAGTCTCATTCCGCTAGGAAGCTTCAAAAATCTGATCCAGAGTGCTGTCCGGCTTGGCTACAGAGATTTTGGGTCACAAGTTTTGGCCAAAGACCAACGTCCTGTCCCCTTATTTAACGCCATACCACTGCCCCATGAGTCACGAAAACCTGCGGAGGGCTAGTGAGTCTTTACGTTCAAGACATCGATCAAACGTTCACTTGTAATTGACTCATCTCTTTTTTTTTCCCATAATCAGCTTGCCCCGAGAACAAATGTGACCCCATCTAATCAATCTGACTTGATTCATGGACGAAGAACCACCCAGTTTTTCCTTTTTTCTTTTCATAATCACATAATCATTTAAGGCAAAGGGGGCCGCACGAAGTGAGCATGTAGATTCAGTACATTTTCCAGTCCCCAGCCATGATCTGCCAAAATTCTCTTTTACGGTTTGATCCCCTGCTTCTTTCTAGTAATTCTATTTAAAAAGTTGGTTGAGAGACCATTCGGGTCTTATATATTTCTTCGAGCACCGTTGTCCCATGAAGCCGAACGGCCATAACACATTGAAAAGGGGCATTAAGGTGTGCCTGTTGGTTGAGCTCTCGTGGTGTGAGATGAAAGACCAAGTTGAAGTAATCCTGAGCCCGTCCGCTTGGAATTGTACCACCCTATTTACATTGCAATTGGATTTGTTCTCAATCACCATTGACCATGCCATGACGGCTGAGAAAAACACTCAACTCTTCTCGCCTCAGGTTCCATTCACTCAATCAAGTCTCGTGGGACGAGTGAACACGACCGAAGAAGTACATTTACCGCTCTGCAATCAAGCCGACTCAGCATCGTCTTTGCCGGCAAGTTTTTAAGACTTCAGGGAGATCTCAGGGTTTCCAGGGTTTTTTGTTTTGGCTGGAGGATTGATATTAATATTGGTATGCCCCGAATGGGGGGTCGCGCGGGGTTAGTTCTGGGTATGGGGTCTAGGCATGCCCACAGGTGAGACAGACAGAGGTCGCCTATTGTTGATACTCCCGCTGCGCTTCCGTCCTAACTTAACCAAGTCCCTCTTTATTCGGAGGGGGGACGCCGTCCCGCAGGGACCCTCCGAACAAGCCATCGGATCAACTGCCCGGAGGGGCTTAGTTAAGTTAGGCTTCCGTCACCGCTTCAGGAGGTGGCGCGCCACAGTATTTCCGCCATATGGCTACATATTTTGACTACGTAATTTGCGTGCCCCAACGCCATCTCACCGGCGTGCCATTCTCTATTGGGATCGGGCTGTAGGGCCGGCTCCTTTCGGCTTGCAAGGACAAAGAAGTTCAACAAGACCAGCATCAAATGTTCATACATAAGTACTGGCAGCTCCGCTTACCGGACATCGACCGTCCACATTCCCATCCTCCACCGAGCATTTGTCTAATCAATATCCGCTCTGATCCGGAAAAGAAGCATTAAATAATATTCCAAAATGATGATGATTAACATCATCTTACTTGTCGGGATGGTCGCATTTCTATCCATAACCCAATCAAATGCTTACAACTGTGACAATGCCTTCCAGCGTATTCCCAATACCCCCAACTCAGTTGGTAAGTACGATCATCACTTCACGGGTTTGGATCGCTGTTATGCAGAGGCTGACAAACTCTCCCTTTTCATCCACAGTGTGCCAAACCGGCCTCGTGGCGCGTAAGTGTGAGCTGGACAAATGTACCACAGACGGGCCGTACGGTCCCAAACCTCGTGAGAAGCAATCTTCTAATTTTCAGAACCTACATTAATCTAACCTGATTCATGGTTCTATGTAAATAGTATCAGATTGGATATTCTCAGATTGTGTGACCACCCCAGCAGGGTGGGTTAAAAACCATGTCCGAGTGAAGGAATTTACTGTCAATATTGCGCTTCATAGAATTGGTACGTCGTAGCCTCGAGTCTCATTCCGCTAGAAGGCCTCAAAAATCTGATCCAGACTGCTTGGCTACAGAGATTTGGGGTCACAAGTTTTGGCCAGGGACCTTCGTCCCTGCCCTTGATTCAGAGCCATACCACTGCCCCATGAGTCACGAAAACCTGCGGAGGGCTAGTGAGTCTTTACGTTAAAGACATCGATCGAACGTTCACTTGTAATTGACTCATCTTTTTTCCCATAAACAGCTTGCCCCAATGACCAATGTGTCCCCCTCTAGTCAATCTGACTTGATTCATGGACGAAGAACCAGCCTTTTTTTCTTTTTTTCTTTGCTTTTTTCCTTTCCATGACTACATAATTATTTAAGGCAAAAGGGGCCGCACGAAGTGAGCATGTAGATTCGCTACTTGTTACATTTCCACCTCCAGTCCCCAGCCATGATCTGCCAAAATTCTCTTTTACGGTTTGATTCCCCGCTTCTTTCTAGTAATTTTATTTATACATTTGGTTGAGAGACCATTCGGGTCTTATATATTCCTTCGAGCACGGTTGTCCCATGAAGCCGAACGGCCATAACACATTGAAAAGGGCCAAGATGTGCCCCTGTCCGCGGTTGAGCTCTCATGGTGTAAGATGAAACACCAAGTTGAAGTGATCCTTAGCTAGCATCTGCCAGCATTGATGATGAAGATAAAAAGAATCCGAACCCGTTCACTCGGAATCGTACCACCAGTCACATTGCAACTGGATTTGTTTTCAATCACCATTGGCCCATGCCATGACGGGAGAGAAAAACACTCAAGTTTCAACTCTTCTCGCCTCAGGCTCCATTCACTCAATCAAGTCTCTTGGGACGAGTGAACACGACCGAAGAAGTACATTTACCGCTCTGCAATCAAACCGACAACTATCGGCCAAAAGAACGGCCGGCCCAGTCAGGAAAGTTAGCTTTCTCAATACAACACATTGTAAAAATTTTGTGGTCACAAGTTCATTTCAGTTTATAAGATTGTATGCTAGATGTTCACAACCATTTCAATCACAGTCTATGATCACTACACTGTCACACATGTCTGCTCATACTTTTTCGGCTTTTTTTCAGATACAGTTCTTAGCTTATGATGCCTTCCTTCCTGCTGTTAATTGTTCTCATTTTCATGCAATCTTCTCCGTTCTATCAGTCATAGAATCAAAGTAAAAATCAGATTTTTCTCAGTATCCAATTTCTGTCTGTTTTGTTTTGTAAAAAAACAAATGTTTTGTCAACTTGTCTAGCAATATCTGAGCTTTGATGAACCTGTTCAACTTGTCATCAACACCATTTTTCAATATTTCTATCACCTAACAGTGAAGAAATCCCTGGGCATATCCAGCCATTGTATCAATTGGTTAACATACCTGGTGATGTTGCTTGTGAAACTGCACTTGTCACCAAATCATAGGGGGAAAGCTCAATAGATGGTTTGGACTAATGGTATGAATGCTTGCAGCAGAGGTATGATGCTACAATGTAACAAAAGATGGCCTGATGGGAGGTATACAATGAACTGAAATTAAAATCAAGAAAATAAATCAAGCTGGGATTTCAAGCAATCGACGAGTTGCAAATCATCAAAGATCTTGATTCCATCATCCTCGTGACCATCATCAGACGATTGGCGCAGTGCGTTTGTCGAACCACCGACTACCCATGAATCCGACGACAAGACTCTCACTGAGCTATGCGACCAATGGTTCAGAAAATCTATCACGTGTTGGATGTTTCCGGATGGTCTGTCTACGTTTTCTGCGGTTGAGCATTCTGGGAGTGATGGTGGAGTTAAAATTAAGACCCAAATCGCATCGTACCCTCCGGCTGTTCACATTGTTATTCATACATCAGACAAACAAAGTGTGTTTTGTTCAGAACCTTAAAGCGGTCGTCATTTTTGGAAGAAGCAAAAAAGAGTTTCTTACCGCCAGGTACTCCGCTACCGATCACTCCATGACGTTTTTCACATTCGTCGAGGAGCAGAGTTTGACTGTCCGGTTCAATAGGGACATTAGATTGTGTTCCCATCTTTTTCATTAATTGACGAATCGACTATAAAAGCAAGAATCTTGGCTTAGTGTGTGGTGTAATAGATGACCATCTATTTTCTATGTGAAAACAAATTGCACCTACCTTGATTATAGAAGAAACTTTAATGAATAATGTTCGAGCATCATCCGTTTCCGCTACCGGGCTAGGATCATTCTATTGATAGAGCATCACCGTCATCAAAGAAATTAGTACATCCTGACGCATATAACAATTCAAAGAAAAAAAGATGTTGAGTAAGAGCAATTCGGCCCGAGAAAGAGCCACTGTTTCATTATTGTCTCTCGTTGTCCTTGTTGCAAGAGTTCCTGATTTATTTACCTGGAGATGGAAGTTCGAATCGCTCGACAACTTGAGAACCTCGGACAAATAATTCTGTTCATTCAAGCTTGAGAGTCTGTCTAATCTTTCGAATGCTACTTTCAATTGATTGTTTTGAATTGATAGTTCCTTCCATATTTGATTGGCTAGGCAATAAAAAAAGTTGATTAGGTGAATCTGCATAATTTCAAACCAGACTTATTTCGATTCAACGCAACTAACCACTTTCACTTTCACTGTTTTTCCACTTGAAAACTTGGCCTACCATACTAGGAGTATGACTGCCCGCATCCACATCGGCGAGTAACAGGGTTGTGAATTTGGGAATGGAGAATCGTTCGATTACGGGTGCGGTGGATGCATCAACCCAACTTCCATTGATTTTTGGATCGAGAGTTTTCCAAATTTGATTTGGTGTTAGCTGTTTTTAGGAGAGTGATGTGAGTGAGAAATGATGACTTGAGTGGTGGAATGTACGAAATCTATCTCGGAGAATTTTAGATGAATATATCGATTTCTGACATGTGCTTGATCCCCAGACGAGCCCAGCAATCCATCCAAACAAGCCGGAGAGAACCTCCTATAGACATGAGTGCCATAAATAGCGGCGCTAACATCGAACCCTGATCCGACCTTTCCTTGAGCAAGAGAATGGACATATTGGGATAAGTTGTGGAGTAATAGTTTTGTCGAGCGGGATAGAGGCTTGATCGAGGGGGCGAAATGGATCAAGATCGCTGAGCAGAGTGAGGTGACCATAGCGGCGGATGACCCGAGACCGGTCTTGTGAACATCTTTCAAGGTCGTATTTAATCGGTTGAACGCTGGAACAGGAGCCTGTTCGAGACGGACATGTAACTGTCATTCACTCTAGTTTGCATTTGCCTTCTGCCAGATTCAATCCTATTTTCTTACATGATCCTGTCGTGGTTGGGAATAAAAATCGTTGTCGCCAAGGATAGTGATGGTCATAGGGTATGGTTGGTTGGTCGAGTGCCCATTTTGATGAGGTTTCTCAGATGGTGGTTGGAGAATGAATTGGTCAGGGCTTTGCAGCGCCAAGGATAATTTCAGTGACTCCCGAACAGCCAATTCGACAAATTTGTTTTGCGATGATGATCTAACACAGAGAGAGAAAAAAAATCAGCGTACGACCCAGCAGAAAGGAAAGGCCATGGCATGAAGGATGGAGTACTAACGCTTCCGGCTTGATGAGCAAGTCGGCTTGAGGAGAAAGACTGATAAGGTAGGACCATTCCGCATCAATGAATTGAGGCGATCGAATCGACAGTCTAATCTGCTGATACTTCAAAGACCCCTGCTGCTCTGGAGATCGACCCAACGGTGGTGTCTGAGCTGGCCTGATGACCGTATAAAAGCGTGAGGAAGTCCCAACGACGATTCCAGGGTACTCCCTATCGAGAACCAGGTATCCACCAGCGATCAGCACCTTTCCAGGACACGAAACGATCGTCTCTCGGGAGTCAAACATCTGCTTTGCGACCATCCATCCATCAGCATTCTGCAATACATGTTCAAGCCTGAAGGCAGAAGAAATAGACATCATGACTGTTGGTACTCACTCTTCCTTGGCTCCTTAAAATAAAACACTGGATTCTTTGGTGGTACTATGCTATCGATCGCTGCCAGCTGGGGCCTAACGCAAGCCTCCCGCAAGCCTATAGGGCGAAGCAGCTGCGGGCTATCAGCTGCGGGCTATTCTGGGTATCCCATTCCCCATGGGGCAATTTTATGCTTTGGTATAAAGTCGAAACACAAGTGCCAGCAGCCTGGATAAAACTTCTTGACTAGTGACAGCAACTCGGATTTATGTATCGTCCGGGGTTCATAGAGTTGCTCTATCTGATATGTATGCCATGCCACAGCTCACATGCCATATTGCCACAGCTACAAGTTCTCCAGGTTCTTCCGCATCGCCGCCAACTGGACCGGGATGGCACGGCTGTTCGCTTGGAGAGATGTAAATCAAAACACCTGATAAGCTGAAACCATTCTACAGAAGTCTAAGAGTACATAATTATGCTGGGCACACAATCGGTTCAAGGGGAGCAGTGATGATAAATTGTAATGCATGGGTGATAGACTAATTGCTAGCTTGCTCTTGGAGGTCACGTGCATCTGCGTAGACATTTCTTTCATTCCCCTTAACAAAATACTAGGATATCGGCCTTGGAGGCATTGGATCTCATCAAGAGTCTTACTCAGCATGAGAACCCTCTGGCGGACCGCGCTAGTATCTCTACCTTATGCACAAGATACTCTGTCGGCCAAGCCGGGCCCCAGACTGGGTGACCTATTCCAAGTAAAACAGGCAGAGTCATGGGAACCAAACCAAATGTTGAGTATGGTTTGACCGTATATGTGCTTGTTGGAAATGACACGAATCGAGTTCACTAAGGCTCCGGTAATTCTAGTAGGTCTCTCCACACATCAGAGGCCCCATTGGTAACGCTGGATTTGTTTCCCTCGATCATAACCGATGTGTCTTCGCCTGATACAGCAAGCTCTACGACCAACCCTCTTGGAATGCGTGCGCCTATTACTGCCCAAGCCGATGCCAATGGTCAAGATATTTCCTTCAATGGTGCTTTGTAGAGAGGCTTTGCGCTCACACTAATTACATTGTCCATTTATCCATTTACATCACCAATATATAGTTGGAGTCACCGGCCCCAACCTTCTAGATGACATGCACGATGTATTTCTAGTCCACTATGACTCTCGATCGGGCTCGCCAACAAAGGATTTCTTAAGCGGTAAATGATCCTACTTTTTATAACTCGGAGCGCATCATGCGCGCGCACTAAAATCCATGCTTCATCCAGGAATTTCTGACAAGCGAAGATTGCCTGCTTCCTTTTCGGGTGAGCTAGCGCAATCACGAAGCCAGAACCAGGTAGTGAGCCAGTTTACTGCTAGTCGGAGTACTAGTGACACAGACAAGGGTAAGCTAGCTTCATCATGAACGTAGCAAACGTTTAGCAGAGGTGAACTAGAAGCCTCATATCAAGATATCAAAACTGACAATGCTCCCGCAATTCTTCAGACTCCGAATCATGGCTCGATCTGACCTTGGCTTTGGCCGATCCAGAAACTGCTAGGAAAAAACAAAAGATTGCACCTCCTGCACCCGCGATTTCCGCTGACGCTATGAGTGGATCGATATTTTCTGGAAAGAGCTATGGGCACACCCCTCGTCAGTCCCACAATTTTTTTCCATTTTTCCATTTTTTTTTCAACATGCAAGTGTTATCAATTGGTGCAAAAGAGATACCAAAAAAAAACCATGATCTCATGCTCGACATAACAGCTAATAATAACCGCTTGGTTTTCCATGCTCTGAATCTGAACTAGACTCGAGCTTGTTATTGAATCACCGGGGAGCCGTTGACAAAAAACAGAAAATCACACATATCAAGCCGGGAGCGCAGGTTGAGACTATGAACAGCTCGTTATTTCCTAAAAAACATGTTGGGAATTTTTTCAGTTAGTCTCGCAATTCGTTGATGTTTCTGATTGTCCGCCCTCGCGCGTATGTGATTGATCAGCCTGATCAGACGCACTGAGACCAAGTTCCCTGGCACCCGGGCAATGTACAAAGCTAACAAAAGTGTATCGATATTTGTTTAGACTCTGGTACCCTTCTAAATCCAGGATTGAATTTGATTCATCCAGGATCCTCCGGAGAAGAGCGACAAGAATCTACTACTTCAGCAGTGATGGCGGCTGTGGATGGCGGGATTTCTCCCGAAAAAGACCATGAGAGAATCTCCAGTTAGGCCTTCATTATCTTCTTAACAACTGTTTGACTTTTCTTGTGTGATGCCTGGACACTCACATTTTAAAAACTCCACTTTTTTCACTGGGCTGAAATCAAAGGAAAGAGGAAAAGTAAAGATACAGTATTCAGTCCTCAGAGTCAGATGACAACAAATCACGACACGGTGGGCTTCAGAAACCTGGCCGATACGCAAGAAAAAGATGAAGCCATCCATATTCTATTGGATAAAATGAAAACTGAGTTGATATTGCGAGACTTATTCCACTCATCGTATACGGAAAAGGTTTGGGCATGGATTTATGGAGGCACAACCTATCTTATTGAACCAGCACATCAAGAATTGAAACTACAAAGAAGAGAAAAAACATCAGAATTTGTGAGAGAAATCGTTTCAATGTCGAACGAAATTATCCAAACAAGCTCTCATTCTACGAGGAATATCATCACTGCCGTTGAGCTCCACGAGAACGTCACACAGTTTGTTGACCTTCTCTTGTTGACCAACCTGAGATTGCTCCGCGGACTTGGTAGCTTAACACCAGAAGGTTATAGTGAAGAGCACGATTTGCTCCATGACTGGCTTCTTGAGATTCTCAAAAATGCTCAGAATCAGGATTTGAATCTTTTGGATCATAGAAATAATCAAATCTTTCCTGAAATTACTCTGAAAACGGTGTTGGATAGTGTTCTCAACGCATTCATCTCCAAAAACTCAAACAGAGTGATCTATCAGCTGGTAAAGAAAACTAATGTTGTGGATACTTACGTCGGAGTATTTTCTGAAAAGCAGTTAAAGATGACTAAAACGGTAATCACGCTTTTAGCTTCATACTACAAATTACACAATCCGGAGAAGTGGAGAAAGCAATTTCGAGATGAAGGCGCCTTCTTATCGTACCTGGCCAAACTTCAAAACCCACACATGAATTGTGAAGTCAAAGAAATCGGAGAATCAAAGGAGTTTATTCAAGTCCTAGAATTCCTCCCCTGGAAGAACCCATTGAAAGAAAGTGGGGAAGGTACAAGTAGGTCATTCGCTTTGAGCTTGCGCCCGTCAAGCAGCACCAGGTGGAATACGTGGATCGACCCATTCTATATGGGAACCCCAGCCATCGTAGCGGACGAAGTGTGGGCAACAATCTCGCTGATCGAAAGAGGAGATCAGAACGTGATCGCAGAGGACGCCAACGCACTAATTCCCGCGCTAAGGAGATTTGAAAGGAATAGAACCAACACGTTTCTGAGTCCGGCTTTCTGGAAAATGTGCGACGACAGAAAAATAAGCTCTAATCAAATAAAATCCTTTTCAATTTTGATCTGGGTGTTAAATTCAGCATTGATCGAAGCATTCGGTTATGCGGCCGAAGACCCTGCATATCTGGAAGAGCAAAACCTTCTTCAGGATGACATGCTCAGTATCCTCAATTCCAGAGAAGATAGAGCAAGCGAAGCACTTGTCGGTTTGTTATTTTCCTCATTAATGTGTCAGGAGACTATAAGGAAGTATCAGCCAGTATTCAAGACCAACAACACAGTATCCAAGCGAGAGATACTAATGACAGAAGCAGCAACCAAAATGATGGTGTATCATTATCAGAAAAGAAATATTGTGAAATGGTTGAATTTGTTTAAGGATGAAGATGGCTTTGTCAATGGGCTCAAAAGAATCGGGAACAGAATGCGATCCAGGAGAACTCATTGGAAATTCCTTTCTCCTAATTTTCAACCGATGAGGGAATTGGAATTATTGCCTTGGAAGGATACGATGTACATGAATGCAAAACAGAGATGGCTTCTTGCGCGTGTGTTCAGAAGAAAACATGATCAAGGTTGAACAACAATCTGTTTCCAAAAAATTGCTCCTTTTTTTTCAAACGAATTACGCATAGCTTTAATATGTACCAACTGTTCACATTGAAGGAAATCTTGTATTTGAGCATTCAATGCCCAGTGTTGTTTTACAAAGCAAGGAGTTTTTTGGGCTGTCAAACTGATGGTTGATGATCAAGCTCTTCAGCTGAATTAAGTGAAAAGATATTGAATTTATCGCCACTATATGATCAAAATTCAAGTAGGAAAGCAGCAATCAAGCTGGCGTGAGAAAGGGGACCAACATGGGCCGTCATTTGAAGGTGTAAATTCTTGATATTTCACTTACCATTGGGATACACAGTGTTTTCAAATTTAGTTATCATTGTTTAACCATGTTGTGTAACTTGGTTAACATCAAGCAGATTACAATCAAATACATAATAGAAAGAATTAGCTGAGTTCAGGATAGCCAGTCACAAGCTAATTTCAATTTGTAGATCAAACACCAGAACTGGTTATTGTAAACCAAATGACTTCCAAAAGCTTGTCTAAAGACTTAATTTTTGTTTCTGCACTTCAGGTAGCTCTAACCAAGCCATATTTCTTAGAATGTAGTCCCAGAAAATCCGAGGTATCTCATGTACATTTAAAAAAATGACAAAGGAAATTACCAATATTTATGTTTTCAGTCAGACCTTGCTGTGTTTTTATTTTCACAGCAGATATGTAAACCACTACAGGTCCACTGGACTGAAAAAAACCAACTTTAAATACAACTGTCATTTAGAATTGGATGAAGAACAACTTTAATGACAAGCAGTTATATATAATAAGAAAGAGAAAAAAGAAATGAAAAAAGGAAAACTGGGATAGGGCACATATGCATTTATGACTATTACATACAACACGTTTGCTTGATAATATTCTGAAGAGAAAAACCCCTCGAACGACTACTTATATACACAGGTACATACATTCTTCTACCGTAGATCATAAACAAGACAAGCTGATGTGGGTGCTTGGGTGTCTGATTCTACTCTTTGAGTGTTCCGATGATCGAGTCAGGTGCGTATTTCTTGACTACTTTGGGGTCATGCAACACTGCCAAGAAAAAAAAGTGATTGGTTCGTTGTGTAAAAGTGAAAGGGCCATCAAAGGGAGAAACGATGGGTTACTTACTGTTGAACTCCTCTGTGGCATCGCGACCAGCATACAGCATGATGGCCTTCTCTCCACCGGGATGATCACTGGAATAAATTAACATTTAGTCTCTTGCGCGGATATGACATATATTGATCCAAAGGACTGACGCTTTAAATTTGGTGACATCTAAAACCTCCCCATTAACGACTACCCACACATCATCCTTGGTTTTGTGTTTGGCGACGTCGTCCAACGTATATTCTTTCAATGGTCCCTTTTCCTCGGGGGCTTTGCCTGCACCAGGACCGTTGGGCCCTGCCTGGTTCGGTGTTTGCTGTGGGGGTGCACTTTGTGCGGCAGAGGATCCAGAGACATTTGAGCCCCCGCTGCTGGCCTGGGTGGACTTTGCATTCGTGTCATCCCAGGCAAAGGTGAGCTGAACGTTCTTGTTTTGGGGGTTGATTTCGATCGTGGTTTTCAAGTGGTTTTGGATTTGACCCAAACGGGCAGCGGGCCCAGAGCCGGTGGCCAATGAATGCAATAAGTAAGACGATGCCGAGTCCGCTGCGACTCGTCCAAAAACTACACATCCTAAGAGAGATGATCCTCCCAATCGGTTGGCTCCATGGACTCCACCGGCAATTTCCCCTGATGCATAGAGTCCTGGAATAGGTTTCTTGTTCGTGTCGAGAACCTGTGACTTCTCGTTGATTTCCACACCTCCTGAATAATGAGAAAATGAAGTCGGGAGCGGAATGTAAGCGCTTGTTCCAACAATCGAGATTGAGTTTTGTAATGCTTACCCATACTGTAATGTAAGACTGGGGTCATTGAGGCTACGAAGAAAGGACCCTGCTGCATGCTAAAATTGTAATTGTGAAAGAATTCTGTTTGGTCGATCAAGTCAGCAAGCGAGACCGCATATAGCAGAACAAGCAAAAGATGATTTACTCTTCTTATGTGGGTCGGCCTTTTTTCCTTGCCCAATTTGGACATATTCATCAAAGGTACTGCTGAGCTTTGACTCGGGAAGTCCCATCTCTTTAGCGAGCTCACTGCCTGATTCGAAGCGCTTCATGAGTCCTCTTCCGACGTAGTGTTTGCCTAAGCAGCATTTCATGTGGCGTGAGCAAATTGTGAAGTATCAACAGAAAAGAAAAGAATCTTACAATGCCATAAGATTTCGTCCGATGATTCCTTGTTGAGTACGAGTCGGATAGGAAACTAATGTGATGCACCATCAGATCAATCGATCTCAACCGACACAATGACGATGTTACAGTGATGACGATGAGGTTTTACCTTGTTATTCTCCCACATCTTACCAGTAACATAATCACGGTGACCCAGCTCATCGACGAACCGGTTACCTTCTCGGTCCAAAAGGATTCCACCCACACCACGCAAAGCCTCGGCGGCCAAGAACTTGACTTTAGCGTCAGGTTCATTAGGATCAACTAATCCAGTCGGATGGACTTGAACTTTTTCCCAGTCAATCCCCGCACTGCCGATGGCAAGGGCCATCTTTTGGCCGTCACCCGTACAATGATCTCCGTTGGTGGTCGGCAGTTTGAGTAAATCAGGACGGTGCTTTGCGAGCAGTCCGTCTGGCGAAAAGTCGGCAGCGTATCCTCTATACAGAAGACAAATAACAAATCAATAAGCGACATATACGATGATGATGCGATGATAATAGATGTCGTTGGCACCTACCCAGTGGCAAGAATGACTGGCCCATTCTCGGTGTAGGTTTTGCCGTCGAACTCATATTCCACGCCAATGACCGCCCCGTTTTCTTTTAGAAGCTTAGTCACTTTGGCCTTCTTGATGATTTGAACACGGTCGGGGTCGCTGTCCGCCAGGTCTTCCAATGCCTCCATTTGGGCGTAAGTACTATTGATGAAAGTCTAGATTCAGTGCTTGGCCCTGAAGAAAAGTCTGCGTGGTGGCAAGAGAAATTTCTACTCACATAGTCATCCCAGGAAACTGGGCACCACCACGATGAGTACGCTCAAACGAATGACCTCCAAGTCTGGAAACCTTGGAAAGATCCAATGAGAATTTGTCTTGAAGCCAGTTGACAGCCTCAGCCGATTTCCCGGTCAAGACCTTAATGAGATCGTCTCTTGCAAGATCTCTGGCACTTTTTTTAGTATCTTCGAAAAACACCTTGGCGGAGTCTGGGATTCCCAGCTCCGCCTGTGCGTTCGTGCCGGCTCCATTAATCCCGGAGGTGGCTTTAGTAGAATTTCCCTGTGTAAAAACAGAAGATTTCCTTTCAGTACAAATGCCTTGGATGCCTCAGAACATTAAAAGAAAATTGATCAAGGAAATTACTGACTCCAAAGCTGTTAAGTCAAGAATAACCAGGATGTTCAGAAAATCAGTGTGGACCAAGCAAACATTAGCCATCCGACTTGGATCCTATTTAGGGCATGAATAAAATAAGCCCGGGTGGACTTGACTGACAATGGATTCTTGTCTAGTACCAATACGTTAGCACCTCGATCGTAGAGGGTATGGGCAGCAGATAAACCACTCAAGCCCCCTCCTACGACGATAACTTTGGACATGATGAAATAAGGAAACGCAGAGGGATAGAGCTTCAAGGGTCAGCTAGCTATGGATAGGATGGATGAACTGGTGTTTGTTGAAGAGGAAGTTGGTTGGAAGTCAGGATGATGGTGATGATGCGCTGTGACAGAGCGGGGAGGATGAGATGGTGATGAGCAGTAATAAGCCAAGTGAATTTATATGAAACATGTTCGAGTGGCTCACATAAGCCGACTGAATATCGAACAGTATCGAACAGCCTTACCTACACTCAAATCCAGAATTACGATCATGAGCAGACCTCATGATTAGGATTTACATAAGCGATGACAGCCCCCCCCCACAATCGGCCGGGTGGGTGTGGGGAAACAGACTAAAGAGAATATTAAACAGACCACAGACCATGAAGAAAAAAAAAAGAACAGTTCCCTCAACAAGATATAGCCTGATATAGCGGAGTGGACAGTGCAGTTTTTCGATCGAGTGTCTGTGAAAAGCTGGCCTGTCAGTTCAACCAATCAGAAAGAGCGCAATGATAGACCCCCAAAAAAAACACCAGGATTTTTTGCCGGATGTGCATAGGGGCGCATGGATCATAAACAGGAATATGGATTTAGCGAAATACCAGCAGAAAGTGACATCATCTCTTCATGAATATTTGCCTTGCACTTCAGCGGAAGTCGAGTCCGTCAAGATCCTGATTTGCTGATAAGAACACCTTATAAATGGCTCAACTCATCCCCACACCCGAATGTCTACGGTCAAAGAAGCGACAAACTCCCCTCAAGTTCAGACCCTGAGGCTTATCCTAAAGAGGTATCATTAGCCAAGGGGGGAGCTCCATAGCTTGAGCTCCTTCCCATGTTCCAACGCTCTCTCTAATCTTTCGGTTCACCTCAAATCTCAGCCATTCCAACTTCAAGATCAATCAACCTACAGCTGTTCCCAAAAACCTTGCGGTTTTGGGAGAGCTGTATTTCAGAAGAATTTTTTTTCACCTCTCTTTTTAGCACCGCTCTCTCCTGTACGTGGCCCTGTATGGCCACAGTACTTCAGGCAAGAGTACCCAACTCCCACATTTTTTGAGTTGAGTGTATGGGAGTTGGATCATTGTGGTCCTCTCGATTTTTTGGTCTGGAGCTGCTCATCACAAAGAGGCTTGCCCTACCCCAGGCTGGAAGCTGGCAGGCATCCGGACCCACACCAGGGCCTTGGCAGCCAAATCACAACCTGTACCGCCATCTGTACAGGCCGTGAGGCACAAACAGTTGGTGGCGCTAAAAAATTTCTTTGGAAATACAGCGCTCCCAAAACCGCAAGGTTTTTGGGAACAGCTGTAATGCACGGAACATTGTAATGAATCAGTCTATGCCACATACATACAGCTGTTACCAAAAACCTTGTGGTTTCGGGAGGGCTGTATTTCAGAAGATTTTTTTTTGCGCCTCACAACCTGTACACATGACTGTACGACTTCTGATTTGGCTGCCAAGGTGTCACTCGGGCTCAGGATGCCTGGTGGCAAAGAATTGGAGCCTGCCCAAAGTGCGGAATCTTTCCATGCGGGTGTGGAAAGTGCGGATTAGTACGGAGCTGTACCAGAGCTGTACAGCCAAGTTTAGTACAGAGATGTAGCTGTACAGCCAAATGCAGGGCTTGCCTCGGACACGTGGGGCTGGTGTCCAACACGTCTGATCGCTCGCCTGGTTTAGGGTTGGCGGCGCCACCGTTGAGCTGGGGGCACCAAGGCGCGCCTTTTGCAAGCCCTCCAGGGCGCGCCCACTGGTGGGGGCGCCAGGGCGCCGCTGTCTGGTTTTTTGGGACTAAATATGGCGGAAATAAGGATCTTTCCTGTTTTTTGGGGGTTTTTTTTTTCTTAAATTCCTTGTCAATAAGGCACAAAAAACACTATCAGTCTCAATCAATGGGGAGCCAAACATCCATAGGGTCTCAGCCACCATCAATATATTCAGTTGGCTGGGCTACTTACTCAGGGTTTTGGTCCCTGGGCCCTAGGCCCATAGTACTGCTGGGAGGGCGCGCCTGGGGGGGGGTTTTGGGCATTTAGGCGCGCCCCCCCGTCGCACCCCGTCGCCTCGGGGTGCGACAGCGCCCAGGGCGCGCCCCGTGACTGGCGCCGCCAACCCTAGCCTTGTTGCAGACATGTTTGAGACACTCTAGGCAATATAATAGCCAAAGGGTTTAGAATAATAAGTAAAAGTGACAAAGCTACATATCTTTGTCTTGTTGTATAGGAGTTCCTTTTGAGCCTTCAACAATGTTGTTAACAACATTCATTTTGATTCTGGAGGCCCATGATGCAGGCAGGCTGGCTGATGTTGGAAGAAGGAGCTCAGCTGATTGGGGGCGTGGTGCCTGCCCCGCTGTTGTCCACCTCGAGGGAGGGACTGTGATCGAGGCAAAGGGGGCTGCGCGGAGCTCGTGAACCTTGGGTTGGTCTAATCTGTTCTGGTCTGTTGGAGTGGACCGAGGTTGGGATGAATGGCCCATATTGGATAGCAGTTCACAGTCAATTCCGTGCCATCCTGTGGGTTGGACAAGAAATCATGAGGTGCAGCGGCTCCGGAGATTGGTAAGGATCAAGGGGCACGATAGGAACAACTCATCAACCTCCTTGTTGTGATTGACTTGATAATGAGATGGCTAAACCTGACGATCTGCCATCGAGCGAAGTCTTCTATTGATTAATTCTTTGGGTAAATTGATTGATTGTAATACATTTGAATTGCCTAAAAGGTCTAACATTGTTGTGGTAAATAATACTGTGTTTCTACGCAGAAAATATAAAAATTTCTTATTATCTCTTTATTCATTCAAGATAGGGTAAAAATAACATCAAAAATGGAATCCTTAGGTAAAATAACCCCTAGTCACCCACTACAACCATACCTTTATCTCTCATAGTTTGGAAGTTACACGTATTTCAACCTGTCACGGGATATTTCTTGGATTCTTCACTCTAGCCATAGTCATTATGAATACAGGATGCATATTGCATACTGAATTCCTTTGTAGTAAATTGAATACCTTTACGTTATTTTGCATCCCTTTGTATTAGTGATATTGCATGTATGCATCCCTTTGATCATACATATGCGTCCCTTTATTCATTCATATGCATCCCTTTGTAGTAGTATCTTTCAGCCTGTTCCTTGGGGCCAAAATCCCTCACATTTGTCTATATAAGGAGGCCTCTGCCTGACAGTTGTTTCCTCCATCATCCCACCAGTGGATCACATCATCCCACCAGTGGACCAGATCATCTCAACCACCCTTATAAATAAATCCATCTTATATATTATTTCATAACTGCAAGTCATAGCCACATTATAATTTCAGAATTATATACATTGAAATACAGATTTAACACTTTCATCATCATCAAAAACCAAAAGTGCCCTGTACCATATTAATCAACAACAACTTCATCAATATAACCAACAGTCAATAACATCTTTATACCCTCACACATATCAATCGGCAGCTTCATATTGAACTTATCCCTATCACCATATATAAAATCGCCAAGCTAAGCTTGGTGGTCTTGTTATTCTGATAGTATAGAAGGGCAGAGCTTGCAACTCCAACATACCCTTCTCCATTCAGCAAAAGGGTTTTCATAACCACTTTTGAGTCTTACATCGTCCCTCCAATTGACTTGTAAGAATTCCAAAACCTGAAAGGATCGGTGGTGATCCAGCATCCAAAAACCTTGATCAACAGAAGAGAAAGTTGTTCCCCTTTTTTGAATCCATTTTTTCCCCCTTGATGCATTGTAAAGACCTTTGCGCTTTGGAGAGACCTTTCCCTACCTTTCCGCTTTTGGAATTTGAAACAGGTGTGCTGACTAGAAACCTTCCGTCGTATAAGCTGTATTTTTCCACGGTGTCCGCACTTTCCGCACTTTCCACCTTGCCTCAGGGAGGCTCCGATGCTCTCCCTGGTGGATAGCGGGGTAGGGACGGCAAAGCCTCCATGTGATGACCGCTGTGGAACTGCTCAGCAAGTGAGTAAAGAGCTTGGAGGGGATAAAATAGCTAATAGACTATGGAATAGTAGAATTAGTATTGGTGTGTGGGTGAGACTGCCCTCCTGTCTAGCTTGCGGGAAAGTTACACTAAGAAAAATAATAGAGTGGCTTATTTCTAAATTTATCTTAGTGTTGATACTACTATTATTGTTGCTTAAGAATACCTGTTGAGGAGGTAAGGAGTTCGTGGCAACGGTGCCACAGATACAAGACATGTATTTGTATCGGATCGTATCGTATTTATTTTGAGCCTGATACCGGTATCAGTATTTCCTTGGTTGGTGAAAAAATACATTGTATCGGATTTGGATTTAAAAATGAAAAAAAAATTCGTCTTCGTTTTTTTCGTTTTTTCTTCAATACAGCCAAGTATCTTATGTATCAAATACGGTTTTGGTGGGATCAGTCATCTGAGACAATACAGAATACATTTCTCACTTTTCAAATACGATACATGTATATGTCTCAGGAATCCAGCTCTATTCATCCCAAAGAGTAGTTCCACAAGTGGTGTCCCAACAGTGGCCCAGCAGATCTTTGGTTTTTAGTCACCATCACTTATAATTACTAGGCTAAATATATTGTCACAGATTAGCTAGTTATTACCAACCTCTTAGAATTTAGAATTTACATACCTTATCATACCCTGTGGATACCTTTATTGGTGGATCTGCTTCAACAACATATAAATAGAACATCAGAAAGTTATCATAACAGTAGAAATCTCAAAAACCCTCTTACCATGGAAAACCAACCTAGAAGAAACCCCCTTTCTGGACCTACAGTAAACATGGCCAACTTAGTTATTCCACCTTGGAGAGGAAAAATCTACCCTCCTCAATTACTCCCACTCCAGTACTACAACTCTGGAAATACCTATCACCCACCTCCACCTCCTGAATTTTATCAGCAAACACCTGCAAATAATTTTTACCATCAAACTCCTGTGGATTATTACTACCAGCAACATCCTGAATTTCATCAGCATTCATCTGCAAATCCTTTTTACCACCAACCTCCTGCAAATTCCTACTATCAACAACCCCCTGCAAACAACTTACCCTTGAATCCTGGACCTATGAGAAATCCTCAAGCATCTGAAAGAAAAGATTTAGACCCCTTGGAACCACAGACACCCTTATCTCCTCAAAATACTGGAATTCATCATGGAGGACCTAAGACAAGACAGGAGAACATTGGATTATCCCCTACTCACCTTGGACACAAGAAAGCCCTTCCAACCCACTCTTTGGAAAGAGAACCAGGAATGCCTGAATATACTGGAGCAAGAAGGAAGATAGTCAAAATCAAACCTTTGGACAAGAGACTTTTTTTTTGATGGTAACAACATGCCCATAGAGGAATTTATCGGTCAGTATGAAGAAGCTGGAGAATATGTTGGAGCAAGCTCTCAAGACTTGGCCCACCAAGTCATATCATTTATCAGAGGACCAGACCTACAAGATGAAGTGGAAGAGATGTTTGGATTTGAAAACTGCAATTGGGAAACCTTGAAGAAAGAATTAATGGGAAGATTTGCAATAAAACTCACCCTGGAAGAATCTGCTAGAGAGGAATTGGTAGATTTGGTCAGCTATGTTGCAAACATGGGAGGAATCAGTACTCCAGATCACTTCAAACCATTCAGATCCCAATTTGAACAAATTGCTCACTACCTAATCATAAATGGATACAATTCTGTGAATGGTCAAACTAAAGGCAAACTGGACAATAAGAAAGAAGAACAAAAGAATAGATAGCTCTAGAAGCAACTAGGATGATAAGACAACCAGTCGAAAACCAAGAGAAATGGAGAGAGAGAAAGCACAAGATATCGGCGGTGTGGTAGTCAAAAATGTGAAGAATTAAAAGTTTTTTCTTTCTTTTCTTATATTTATATTTTCTTCATATTATCACCCAATCTCTCTCAGAAATCACACCATACGGCTCAAGAACTGGACTCACGGACAAATTCACCTTTGGTCACCACGGAGGCGTCACTGGAACACACCTGGATCAACTCTTACCCAAAAATGGACAACATATCACAAGGATTTCAACCATCAAGTACATGTCAACAATCACAATTACAACACTCAAGCTACACAGACACCCTCAGTACTTTACAGCCTCACATTTACATACACACTCATTTACATACATCTACACTCTTTACATTTCACTTCTACATATTACATCATACCTGCAGCCTAAATTAGTGTATTTTCCATGCATGACAGCTGCAGCTTACACCACCACACTCACTTGTAAACACATCAGAACCTGACCAATCAGAATCACTCTTTCAACTGTTTGGATCACCACTTCAACTCTTGTACATGTCTGACCAATCACGTTCACTCATTCAACTTATGTATGGAGCTAAATTCCCTCATTATTGTCTATATAAGGAGGCTCTCCTCCCAGTTGTTGTCTCCTCAGGGTATTATTCATCAGTCACAAGTTGAGTACCACTCAATCAAAGATACACCACCTTTACAGAACCTTACCAAACACCAATAACAACTAAACTCATTTCTCAGCATCACACAAACTCATTCCTGAACTTACCCTATCACTTGATTAAAACTTGCCAAGCTGAGCTTGGTGGGTCTTGTTATCTGATAGTATAGAAGGGCAGAGCTTGCACCTCCACCATCCCCTTCTCCATTCAGCAAAAAGGGTCTTACAACCACTTTTTGAGTCTTACAGCGGTTTAGTCGAGAGGAAGGGAAGTGCAGGAAGTGTTAGACAGGAATAGGAAAGTCTTGACCGTAAGCCAGGTCAGGCGGAGGAACCAGTAAGATCGATGATGATTGTGAGAGAAATAAAGAGTCGATCAAAAGTGATAGGGTTGTAGATGTTCAACCAGAGTTCCACGAGGGAAGGAGATAAAGATGAGAGACAGTGTCGAGTTTATGTATTTGAGGAGCGAGTGAGTTTGGACCGATGACATCATTGGTTCTGGTCAGAGAAAGTTCTTTGGTCATGTTGTGAGATTGACTGGAAATATTAAGTTGTTGAAGCACGAGGGCTTGAGCATAGAGGTAGGTGAGTCACACATTAACAAATTCCTGCATTGATGAATTTGCAAAATTATTTTGGCAATCCCTCAGCCCAAATTTGGAAAAAGCCATATCTGATCCACTTATATGGGATGGTCACTTGGTTTTGGATGAAAATTTTCACATTGCAGAACTACCACCCTACAATATCATTCTGGAATATATTGGTATGGAGTTTGAAAAAATGGATACTCTTCAAGAAGAACCTGGTCAACCTGAACAAAAAAACCAGCAATTCAATCAGAATTACCATACAGTAACCAACATGGAAGAATATAACTCAGAAATCCAGTCACCACTTACAGAAAATTTTCCCCCAGCACTTTCATCAAATTTGGACACATGCCCCCAGATCCTGGAAAATGAACCATCCCTGGAACACTTGGAAAAGGAAGAAACCAAAAACTTTGGATCAGAAACAGAAATCTTACCAGCAAAAATTCATTCAGAAATATCCTCACCATATTGTGCCTTGATTGAAGAAAATTGTTCCCCTGTAGTATCAGCAGCCATGGAATTTTCCCCCCAGCTACCTCAGAATTGTGAAGAATTGGAACCCTTAGAAAAAAATGAAAAAGAAAATCCTGAACAAGAAAGTGCCACCTGTGAAGAAAGCAGACCTAGAGAAGAAAAATTCCCAGCAAAATTTCTTCCCCAAGAATATTTACCTTTAGTTCAAGTGGCAGTAATCCCAGAAAAACCTATTCCTGAATTGCAAAACTCCCTGAAAATACTGGTGGGAGATAAAAAGGAGGAAAAACTTATTCAGATTATGAAACCAGAGGATTTATTAGCCTTGGATTCAGTACAGTCAATTCAGTCACCCACAATAAACTCAACAAGGTTTGCACCTGAAGGAAGTGGCACCCCAGAAGAATCCACTTCAAATATTGCACCCAACTTATTTCCAGAAATTGATTCTATTTCCCATTCACAATTGAATTCAATTGAGACCCATGCTGCAGATCCTCTCTTCAAAGATTTCAAAGATGAATTTTTCTACCAGGAACCAGTTTTTATTCCTTCAAGGCAAGTATTTGATCCTCAGAGAAAATTAAACAACACATTAGGACCCTACAACAAACAAAAAGATCCTGGAAAAACAACAAAAATAATTTTTCAATCAGCTTCCATCACAAAAATTCTCCCAGAAAATTTTTCTCCTCCAACTCACCAATTCACCAACCAGCAAGAAACACTGGAACCCCTTAGCCCCTCTGATTCCAGCCAATCATGGATTGAACCTTCTCTGATTATTATTGCAAAAAATGGTTTGAAACAATTTGACAGCCTGAAGGATTCTGTGAAATCCATAAATAAAAGAGTCAAGTCAGCTATCATCAACAGGAACCACTTGGAATATGAACATCTTGAATCTACCTCTCCACAACCCAGAAACTCCAATTCAGAACCAACCATGCCAATTAATAAGGATCAATATTTCATTGGAATTGTTTCTTCTTCAATCATCCCAGCCCTATCTAAAGTCAGAAATAAAATGAGGAAGAAGCAAATTGGATATATCAGCATCAAGTCTTTTTCTATAGATGGGTTGCAAGACAGCATACCTTTAGCAAGGCCCAATAATTCCATAGTTGGCATAGGAACCAGTCGCTGCTTCCCAGTGATCCTGAAAATAAGGAAACATGGCAATCAATCAGGAAGAAATTCATTAGTTAGAAAGACAACTGATTGGTCGGTAGCCTCTGAAGAGAAATGTTTTACTTCTCTGATGGTGGATCACTCAAAGCGATATGGCATAAACAGCAGTTGCAAGACTATAGCTACTGGACCAACAAGTTTCATTTTGCTGATCTTGAAATCATTGGTTCGGATCTCTAAGAGGAAGCAGAAGAAGAATTGGATCAGCAAGTGTTCGCGCTGGATGACTCAAGCAACCACGAAATCTAGCAAGGCAAGGGCTGAAGTATCTTTGGATCGCTTGAAGGATCAGGAGAAAAAGATGAGAAGAAAGCGATTGATCCCATCAATTTTTGCTTTAAAGGAGGTCAACTTTAGAGACCAGTCAAGCAGGAGCAAGAGACAAACAAGCGATAGCTTGACTTTATCAATAACTGAGGACCAAGGACTCTATCCAGCTCGGTTCGACAGGAGTAAATCTAGCACTACAGTTTTCCAGGTTCGCTTGAAGATTAAAGCAAGAAAACTTACAAACGGACCATTATTTTTGGTGATAGGCAGTCACAAAAGAAGGCATAAGAGTCCAGAGGATGTTCAACTTGTAATTTGTGAAGAAAAGACAAGCAAGCGACTTACCTTACCAGAAGACCTGGTTAAATTGTGGATACTGGAGCCTTGGAGAAAAGCAAGAGGATCGAGCAAAATCGTGGTCTTGGATCATTCAGCTTTCAAGAAGGAACACAGATCGCCAAGCAGGAAGACCCGCCATATTAGAGGTTTGGAGGAATGGAGATCGGCATGAAAACCAAGGCTTTGAATGTTTAATTTATAGGACAAACCAACCCGACCCTCTGAAAATTGGCTATCCAATTGATCTCGAAACGTTTTACGGATTGATCAGCTCTTTTCCTCTTTGATACGGTATCCTCCTATCTTCTTATCGCTTCTTTTGTTTTACACACATGGATTGGGGTTGACAATCCAAAAACGATTGGCGCGACCTGTCTTCAGCAAACACATTGGGAGAAACACTAAAGGAACCTGCAGGATTGTGAAGGACTACATGGAATCTTTGGAATGAAGCCCCTGATCAGCAACTAAGAAGTCAATATCACCAATATGAAAGAAGCTAAATTACTACAACACCTTTGCAACTGGAAGAAAAGAGGAAATCTGATAGCTGAAACACCTCCACGTAACATACCAGTCTTTTAAAGCAAAAAAAAAAAAAGGAAAGGAAAGAAAGAAAGAAAGAAGAAGAAACAAATTGAAACATAAGAATTATACCCCAAACCCCCTTAACTCTAAAACAATACCTTAATCCCCAGTTCCGCTATTTTAAAGATTTCACCATCCACTATTTCCTGACTCTTGTGATAGATTCTCTTTTTTCAGACCCCCCTCCAAATGCAAATTTGAGGGTGGTTAAAAATATAAAATTAAAAAACAAATCTCAGAATAAAGCAACAAAATCAACCAACCCCTCACCTCAAAAACAAATAACCCCCCTTTTTTTCACTACTTGCCTTCTTTTCTCTTCCCACTCTTCATCTCTCTCTCTTTCTCTTTGTGTTTTCTTATATCCCTGTTCATACACATTTGTACCTCATGTTTGTTCATATGTGAATTTAAGTATATCATTTTGTGCCCAATTTTGTGCTGATTCCCACTGACCCCAATTCTGTCAGTATCAAGATTGGCCCTTTGCTTTGTTTGGATGATGGGGTCATCATCTAATTTGGGGGTGGATGTGGTAAGCCAATCTTGAATAAGAGGCCCACAAAATCAAAGCCTCAAGCACAATATCAAGCCCTCTGGACAACAATACCCTCAAGCACCAAGACAAGCCCCCTCTGGAATATTCAACCAACCTGCAACACCATGGATGTCACAAGACCAAGCCCCCTGGACAGAAACACTCTGGATTCCACATTCCTTATTACATAATCACTTCATGCAGCTTTACATCATCAATCCCCATTCAGCCTTCCACATTTGGCCTCTGCATGTGTTTCACTCTAATCCACTTTCACTCTAGTCTCATTTCCACTTTGGGCCACATTTCACTGTTTCACACTATTCTACATTGGTTATTCTGATGTCTCACACTAGTACACATTTG